ACAGCCAAGCAACCACTTCTGCAGGCGTTGGAAGGGGTTCGATCCCCCCTTATGCCACTGCCACCTTTCCTGGGCACTTCTGTCCCATCAGGGAGCCCGGTATAGATGCGACCAGTGGCATCAGCCTTCGGGCATACAGTGAGAGGAACTGATATTGTTCTTCCCACTGTGTGATGTCAGAAACTGCAAGCACCGTTACCGGCTTGTGAAAACATCTGATCAAACTGAGATTTGGAGGCAAGAGGAGAGATCTAGGGTCTCATAACCCTAGATCTCTCCATAAAGAGGACCTGTCATGGGCAATGCTATCAGAAGGGATGTTGTTCACCCCTTGTGATAGCAATAAAAAAAATTAAATGGACAGTATAAAAAAATAAAGGTAAATAAAATTAATAATTAAAAAAAATGTAAAGCACCCACCCATGCTCGCAATCAAAGGCGAATGCACACATTGGCCCCACAAGCATATGTAAACGGCAAACGCACCCTACATGTGATGTATCCCCGCAAACGTAAAAGTGAGAGTGTGAGCAATAATTCTAGTACCAGACCTCCTGTGTAACTCTAATTTAGTAACCTGTAAAGGAGTTTAAAGAGTCACCTATGGATAATATTTTACTTTACTTTGTTTAAGTTCCACGGGCATTTTAAAGGCAAGGCATATTTACCTTCTATTTACTCCATGTAGCATACTCTTTTATATTTTACCAAAAATTGGGTATTATATTGTATTTGTGTTCACTAAAATTCATTTAAGTGGTTTTTTACAAAAAATGTGCTTTTGAAAAACCACTGCGCATACTGTGAGACATAAAAAATTGCAACACCCACCATTTTATTCTCTGCTTAATAAATATATTCTAGCAATAAAAATGCTGATTTTTACATATATGACAGAAATGTCAGAATTGGCCTGGGTGGCAAGTGGTTAAAAGCCACAGCACTGATTTTAACAGCGACAAGTATTATATACACAGTGTCCCTTGGGGGATTTAGCAAGCCTTATTACCATCTGCTGAGATGACTTCTTTACCATTTTCACCACTGACTGCATTTTTGACCACAGTTCAGCCTGACTTGAAATATGAACATCTATATTACAATTTTCTTTTAAAATTTCTATTTCATTTTCTTTAGGTTTACCAAAACTGTTATTTAAGGGCTTACTTAAACAACCCATTCAAATTGTATCAGAAAGACCATCACGCTGAAGCTTCTCTGTTTGGAAGAAGAACACTGGCCACAAGTTTATTGTACAATTTCCATAGTGTTTACCAACAACTATATAGCGAATTGGCCTCCTGGATAGGATCTAAATGGAAAACATTGTTTGGGTAAAGTTAGGTAGCAATCTGTGTACTCTCCTTAAAATCTATCATTTAATTTGGTTGCTTGGGTAGGCTCTCTAACTATACAAATAAAAACAAAAAAATTCTGCGCTAAGGCTCCATGCACACTAGCGGTTTTTTTTTTTTAAGATTAAAAAACAGTGGATAAAAAACACTTGTAATAGCATTTTTTAGTAGTGTTTTAGTAGCGTTTAGAAGCATTTAGGAGTATTTGCATTTTATTGCATTTTCCAGTACATGTAGAAAAAAGCTAGAAAAAAAATGTTAGAAGCATTTAGCAGCTTTTAGGTGTATTTAGCGATTTGTTTTTGCTGCTGGAAAAATGATCCAAAAACTCTAGAAAAACATTTTTCCTGCTCATTCTGCCTTAGGCTCCATGCACACTAGTGTTTTTTTAAGCTCCTAGAAGCTGTTATTAACATTTTCCTTTCTGCTCCTAGAAGCTAAATAGTGCTATCCTATGTGTTCATGCATACTACTTTAGGCTATTAGTATTTTTTTTAGGAGCAGAAAACAAAAATTTTCTTTGCAGTCTTTTGGAACATTTTTCCAGAAGAAAAATGCTAAATGCTACTAAAACACTCCTAACAGCTTTTTTCTAGCTTTTTCCATGTGTACTGTAAAAACGTAAAATACAAATGCTCCTCAATGTTACTAAAATTCTACTAAAAACCGCTATTCGCCATCATTTTTTATCCAATGTTTTTCCAGCGGTTTTTGAGCTTAAAATAAAACACTAGTGTGCATGGAGTCTAAGTGTATAAAGGAAATGACAGCTGCACACTTACAATATCTGGATACAAAAAATATATAACAATACTCTAAAAAGATGCACTATCTATTTAAATTGAATAATAATAATAATAATATTAATAATAAAGCAATCCACATATACAAAGATAAGAAAAAAAACAAAGTCCACCAAAGTGAATTAAAGTCTCTAAAAGTGATGTTTGCCTCAATTGTAAATAATCATAATCCCATGCAAATCCCAAAAGGAGCCAGTGTTGTATAAAATTCCATGCCACCAGGGTAGGATACACACACACTTCTAACAATAAAGATTGGATCTCAGGCAAATGAGATCAAATAAACTCAAATGACACACAGCCATAGACCATGAGATGGTCCTTCAATCTGTGATGATTTCATCATATTTGTTCTATGGCTCTGCCAAACTGGTTCCCATTTTGCTCCACATTCGCATCCTAAAATGGTAAGTCTTTATATAAAAGAGGAAGACCAGAACCTCCTAGTGCAACCAAAAAAAAAGCAAGATAAAATTTATTTTGCTTATGCGCAGGGGCAGACTGACAACTCATGGGGCCCCCAGGCAATAGGGGATCATGGGGCCCCTGTGTCCTTTTGTCCTAACTCAAAAAAGCCTATGAAAAAGGTACCAAGGGCATCTCATGGGGCCCCCTACTGACCCCGGGCCCTCGGCACTGCCCGAGTTTCCAAATGGTCAGTCCGCCCCTGCTTATGCGCTTAAATGTGAAAATCAGTAACTCGCATTGACAGGAAAAAAGATGGTGCCGCCAGAACTTCTGCATGATAACATCATTGCCACAAGCTCCACTCAACTTGTTTCTACACAACTGTCGTCATCAGAGAAAAAAGATGATCTTCAGTTTGGCAGGGCCATAGAACAAATGTGCTGACAGCATAGGAGCCTCACAGATTGAAGGGGTATCTCATGGTGTATGGCTGTGTGTCGGCTGAGCTCATTTGATTTCATTTTCCTGAAATGCAATCTTTCTGGTAAGTGTGTGTATCCTGGTGGTGACGATTTTTTCATAACACTTCGTTTAGGACTTGAACGGGATTATGATTATTTACAATTGAGTTGAACATTACTTTTAAAACTTTATTTAATTTTGGTGTACTTTATTGGATTTTTTCCTCTCAGTATACAATATTGTAAAATTTTTTGGATATTGTTCAATTAGACTGTAACATGTATGCTCATTTTGAAAGAGATTGTACAATTAGCTTGCAATGCATGTAGTCAGTCCATGATCAGTTGCTATCATGTTACACATGCATTGTTGTTTGTATGCCTCCTAGCTAGGAGATGCTCTGTTTAGCTAGCCCCACCTTCTTTTTAGTGTGCCTTGTTCTCTGTTCTGAGCACATGTAATTGCTGGAAGACATGTGCGTTTCGTTTTGTAATGAATCAATTTTCAGAGGAAAATTTTATTTTTGAAGACTCGGATGTATATGAATCTCTGAAGGACATAGGAACAAATGCAGATGAATATGAAAGATTGTTTAACAAATGAATTTGTTTCATTGGTTTAATTAGGTTGACATCACAGTCATTGAGTTTAGTTCCACAGTCTAATGCAATTCTTAGGTTTTAAAAAGTCAGAACCATCAAATCTTGCATTATTTAGTCCATTGCGTACAGAAAATGTAATCCTTTCAAATAGTTTTGATATATGAATAGCAAATCCACCCAAAATATAAAGCAATCTTCAAAAAAAACTGCAAAATTTTTTTAATCTACCCAGACCAATGAATATGCAAAACTACTGCTGAAGACACAAAAAATTTACTTAACATAACAAATAATGATGAAACAAAATTCTTCAATGAATGCATGCATATGAAACAAAATGGAAATTTCCAGATTGCACATGTCTAATTGCTGGAGCTTATGATCATCTCTGAAGATCTGCACAAGTTTTGGATTAAAGCTTTCTACAATCTGCAAGATATCATTTGGATTGAGTCACTGTCTACTAATTCTACTGAGACTGTAAGTTACAGCTATCCTGCCACATCTGGATCAGTTTTACAGATCATATTTCAGTGCTTAGATTGAAGACGCAGAACAATTGGGCATGCTGTTCCCAATCTGTTTCTCTGCAACAGGATGTAGTATATTATTTTCTACAGGCAGTGTACTACAGACAGAGTAGTGTTTTCTTTTTCTTTGAGTGGGGATTTACCATTGAGAAAACAAGAAAAAAAAAAAGACTAATTCAGAGTTCACTGCTCAAGGGGAAATGCATTATTAATTAGCAGACTGTTTTAATGGACTTCTAGGGAAGTGGTAAGCCTGAGCGGGGTTAAAGTATAAAGGGTCATTAGCTACTGTTATAAACAAGGTTAATGAGTAGGGATATGGCATTTGCTTTTTGCCACATTTCAGTTATTGCATATACTGTAGTATAATGAAGATATTGTGCAGCTTATCTTCTAAAAGCACTTCACACTTCAGTTACCTTTGAAAGCTAGAAAACATTTCTAATGTTTACAGTCTGGTTTTCTGTAATCTGTAGAAAATCAGCGAGGAGTGTTGAGACTGCTGCAGATCTGAAGACTTTGGGAAAGATCACACAACAAGGTCAGAATTAGCCAGCATCCACAGAAAGCTTATTTTTTGTAAATATATTCTTAATATGACTTGCCAGCTTATGTGGGAGATTGAGAGTCTGACTGAGAAAAATAATTACTAAGAAATATCATTAAGAAAATGCTTGATAAATCTAAAATATTGCAAATCTATAGCTTATCATATTTTAGAATTGCAACTAGCAGGTGCTGCACTTAAGATGTTACTTTACCACCTTCCCGCCCGACCTATAGCAGTAATACTGCTACAGGGTGGCACGGGTGCGCAAAATCACATATACAGTATATACGTGATTTTGCATTTCTAGGTAGGGGGCAGGCACGAGCTGAACACATGCCTTACCCGCGCCAGTGTTCACGGCCTCGACTGTCACTCACTGGGTCTCCATTGGTGATTACTTGCCGGCACCCGGTGATCGAGGAGCATTACCAATGGAGGGAGAGAACTGTATGTAAACAATACAGTTCTCTACCCTGTCAGCTCCTGCACACTGTTTTGCATGGCTCTGCATAGCAGAGCCATGCAAAGCAGTGTGCTTACATTGAAGTACACACACACATGCACACAGTAAGACAGCACACAGTTAACCCTTTCATCGCCCCAGATGTTAACCCCTTCCTGCCCAGTGCCATTAGTACAGTGTCAGTGCTTTTTATTAGCACTGACCGCTGTATTGGTGTCACTGGGGATGTCAGTGACACCAAGTCAGTCCAGCTATAAGTCGCTTATTGCTGCCATTACTAGTAAAAAAATTTAAAAAATTTAAAAAATCCCAGTATATATACTTCCATTTGTAAATGCTATAACTTTCCCATAAACCAATTAATTTATGCGTATTGGGATTTTGTTTAGCAAAGACATGTAGCAGAATACATTTTGGCCTAAATTTATGACAAAATTTTATTTTTTTAATTTTTTTTACTGGGCATGTTTAACAGCAAAAATTCGAAAGTATTTTAATTTGGGTGCAGCATTGCATGACTGCGCAATTGTCATTTAAAGTAACATAGCGCCATAACGCAAAAAATGGCCTGGTCAGGAAGGGGGGTAAATCCTCAGGAGGGCGAGTGGTTACCTTACTGCTAATTCTATTTACTGTGCTACTATACTGTGAATAGCTTGTAATTTAACCCAAAGATATTTAGCCCAATTTGCATAAAGTTCAAAAGGTTAGAGGAGGGGCACAGTGCTTTTCCTGAAGTCATATGCATTTTTTTTAGGTAGTCGGTCAAAAGGTGAGCCACTGCTGCTAGATTTTCTTATTAGAAAACCAAGGAATCTAAAGTGTCATTCAGTACATTTTGTCAACACAGCGGGTTTCAATGCAGGCCGCAGCATTATAACGTGAATAAACCGTACTGAAATGTCATTTGTGACATTTCAAAGACATTCTCTGGGAAGAAATGTAGACAATGTGAGGCACTGGGAACAGCACATCTACACGGTGTCTCCCAGACCAGCGTTTGTACTTTTAGCACGGTTTTCTGGATGAGCCCTAAAGGAAACCTGTACTGAGACAATTGCCATCACTTACTTCCTAGTAAAATGCTATATGTCTCCTAGTTGCATACGTTCCGTGTCAGAGCACAAATAATCATGCAGCAAGTAAACCCATAATTCTTGATCTGCATACTTCTTCCAGGTCAGTGACTCCGAAAGTATCAAAGTAGTTTGTTCAGCATAAACTCTGTGACAATAATATACACTCACCGGCCACTTTATTAGGTACACCTGTTCAATTGCTTGGTAACACAAATTGCTAATCAGCCAATCACATGGCAGCAACTCAATGTATTTAGGCATCTAGACGTGGTGAAGACAACTTGCTGAAGTTCCAACTGAGCATCAGAATGGAAAAGAAATGGGATTTAAGTGACTCTGAATGTGGCATGGCTGCTGGTTCCAGACAGGGTCTGAGTATTTCAAAACTGTTGATCTATTGGGATTTTCACACACAACCATCTCTAGGGAAATTGAGACTCATCAGACCAGACAATGTTTTTCCAATCTTCTATTGTCTAATTTTGATGAGCCTATGCTAATTGTAGCCTTCATTTCCTGTTCTTAGCTGACAGGAGTGGCACCTGGTGGTGTCTTCTGCTGCTGTAGCCCATCTGCTCTAAGGTTTGATGTGTTTTGCGTACAGGGATGGTATTCTGCATACCTTGATTGTAAGGAGTGGTTATTTCAGTTACTGTTGCCTTTCTATCATCTTGAACCAGTCTGTCCATTCATCCACACAACTTCCGCTCACTGGATATTTTCTCTTTTTCGGACCATTCTCTGTAAACCCTAGAGATGGTTGTGCGTGAAAATCCCAGTAGATCAGCAGTTTTTTAACCACTAACCTACTGGGCACTTATACCCCCTTCCTGCCCAGGCCAATTTCCAGATTTCAGCGCTGTCGCACTTTGAATGACAATTGCGCGGTCATGCAACACTGTATCCATATGAAATTTTTATTTTTTGTGACAGATAGAGCTTTCTTTTGGTGGTATGTAATCACCTCAGGGTTTTTTATTTTTTCTTAAACAAACCAAAAGGCACTGAAAATTTTGAAAAAAAAACATTTTGTTATAAAATTTTGTAAATAAGTGATTTTTCTCCTTCACTGATGTGCGCTAATGAGGCTGCAGTGATGGGCACTGATAGGCTGCACTGATGGACACTGATAGGTGGCATTGATGGGCACTGAAAGGAAGCACTGATGCATGGCACTGATATATGACACTGTTAGGCAGCACTGACTGGCACTGTTAGGTGGCACTGATGCACACTGATAGGCGGCACTGACTGGCACTGATAGGTGGCACTGATTGGCAGCACTGATAGGTGGCACTGATTGGCATTGATAGGTGGCATTGAATGGCACTGATGGATGACACTGCAGCTCAGATGGGCACTGATATGTGGCATTGATGTGCACTAGTATGCACTGAAATGTGGCATTGAAGCGGCACTGATAGGCACTGGCACATGGCACTGACAGCTGGCACTGATGGACTTTGACAGGTGGCACTGCTCGGGCTACACTGATCATCAGGGCACACTGATCATCAGTGCCCTGATGATCAGTGTACATGTCCCCTCCGAGGAAAGCCGATTACCAGCTCTCCTCTCCTCTGTCAGCGTGACAGCTTGAGAGGAGAGAAATGCCGATAACCGGCATTTCCGTGTTTACATGTGATCAGCTGTGATTTGACACAGCTGATCACATGACCAAGCCGACATCTTCGGCTCTTTCCGTGATCGGTGATCCACTGTGTCCGAGACACACAGCGCACCGCCGATCGCCGCGCTGCGCGCTCCCTGAGCCGCGCATGCACAGCGAGAATAGGAAGATGTCATATGACATCCTCTCAGAACGAGAGAACCACCTTGCGCCCGTCATTGGACTATATGGCAGGTGGGAGGTGATTAAATACTCAGACCAGCCCGGCTGGCACCAACGCAATGCCAAGTTCAAAGTCACCTAAACCTCCTTTCTCCCCCATTCTGACGCTCAGTTTGAACTTCATCAAGTCATCTTCACCACGTCTAGATCCCTAAATCTGTTGGGTTGCTGCCATGTGATTGCCTAATTTGCAATTTGTGTTACCAAGCCATTGAACATGTGTACCTAATAAAGTGGCAGGTGAGTGTATATAACTGAGATACTATTATTTTAATTCATTAGTCAGTTATTTAGACAAATGCTCACAATTCAAAATAAAAAAAAAAACAGCTTAAAGCAAAACTTCACTTTCTCAGTCAAAACTACTTTTGATCTTTATGCTGCTAGATTGGTACATAGATAGGAAAGCATGCCATATTTACTTGTTTTAAACTTTTATTTACACTTCTTAAGTTACTTCCTAGTTTACATGCCTAGGCAAATTATGTCATACATTCCAGGAGTCTTCAGGGGAGGAAGAGTTTCTTACCTAAGCATACCCTCCTGTGTGCATGCCTGAGCTAAGAGCAGATGGATTCTAGGAAGTAAATGCTACATTAATCATCCGCCCTTACTCAAGTTTGCCGCAGAGGTGGTGATGGGGTATTTTATAACATGATTTCATAGCAAGACATAGCATGGAGACATGGATGGATGGGGGAGTTTGCTCTGAATATTATAAATGAATTAAACAGCGTTTTTGGTTTGTGGTGCTCAGATGCAGTGAAGTTCTTCTTTAAGCCTGCAGGCCTGAATTAACACTTAGCCATATTGTAGGCTTTAAGCTGTAGATAAGAGTCAAACTTTCACTTCATAAACCATCAAAAGTTTCCTACGGACACATGGGCGGACTGACCATTTGGAAACTCGGGCAGTGCCCGAGGGCCCGGGGTCAGTAGGGGGCCCCATGAGTTGCCCCTGGTACCTTTTTCATAGGCTTTTTTGAGTTTGGCCAAGGACACAGGGGCCCCATGATCCCCTATTGCCCGGGGGCCCCATGAGTTGTCAGTCCACCCCTGTACAGACCATGCAATTGCAAAAGCAGCAGGGAAGGAAAGGTCTTTACAAATGGAGACTTAACTGAGATGAAATGTCTAGGAACAACCCTTCAATTTTCTTAGATCAGAGAAATTATGTTTCATTTATAATAAAATCCAAAATATTGTTTGTAGGGATATGGAAATTACTCTTTCTGATAGCACTCATTAGGAGCTACATGCAGATGCAAAATGGTATGCCCTGGCCTTATATATAGAGCACCCTAGGGACTGACAAAATGGTGGACCCAGCCATGTTACATCTGGATTTGCTGTGATGGGCTGATGCACTGGTGTCAGATATCAGATCTTTGACCCAGCCAACAGAACCAGCTGGTCTATATAACCTATGGCCACTTCAAGAGCTAAGAACAATCTTCATGAAGGTGAGATAACACCTGGTCAAGGGTCAAGTCCATCCTACATCATCCTATATCCAAATGTTTTTAAATTGAATAGCATGAAAAATGAGTATTATGTACTGTATGTTCAGAAAGTGTATTCAAAGACACAGCAACAGTAGTGTTTACATTTTGTTCTTTTCTCCCTTGTTTAGTTTATAGCAAATATCCAAATGTCTTTGTCATTTTCCTTCTTGTGTTTTTGTAATTTTTACTTTTTACATAGAGTATTTCTCGGCACTGCCCACTTCGAGTTATTAAATATAAAATGTAAGAGGTGCTCTTCTGTGAAACTAAGCTCTCATTCTAGAAAGATTGTTGCATTATAATACCATTGCCTGTATGTTCACTCATAACTTTGCAGTTCTGTTTATAGTCAGTCGCTAATGCCCTTGGAACATGGTAACGGAGGCCGCGGTCATCTGAAGTCAGCATTAAAGCGGCACCACAAGTCATAAGCAAACCGATCACCATTACACAGTTCCATGTTACTCTCAGACACTTAACTTTTACACATTTTTGCCATGTCATTATACACATCGTCTCATGAATGCAGCAATTTGGGGGGGACACTGAGGAGTCCGTGTCCCACTCACCAGCACAGCCATAGCTTGTCACCTTACTCCCAGTGACATTGCGAGTTCCCACCAGACTCCTAGCGCAGAACTCTGTTGCTAACGAGCTTCACACTTGACTTGGATCCATTTCTTTACTGTCTTCTGCTTCCATACCTCCAGGCTAGGGCCCTAGGTCTGCAATGTCAGTCCCGGTATGGGGTACCAATTGCTAGAAAGGAGGTCAAGCTCACCAGCCCCCTCAATACCGGAGTGACTGTCTCCCTTGCCAGGTACCTGCCTTCCTGCTGACTGGCTGCTCTCGCATTCACAACACTTCACTGGTTACCAGTAGCAATGGGCATTATAGCTGCATCTCATGCCAACCCTTCTGCATGTATAACCCTTTAATGGTGGCTCTCTTATAGCTACATCTCATCCCCTTTTCTACAAGCCCAGTTCATGATACACCCTGCATGCCCCCCTTTGTAGGAAGAACTTCAGTACAGGCGATTCAACAGTTAATGGCTTTTTACTGAAGGACTCTTGTAGATACATTCTCTCACAGAAACCCTTCAGTATGACCCTTTCCTTCCAAGCCCAGGCTGCCAGCTCATACCTTTCCATATGATATAGTCCATTGCTCAGACAATCCACTTGATGTGTGGTGGGACCCCACTTGGGTGCACAAAAAGGGGATGCTCTCTTTAGAGTTGACAGCTACATCAGTCCATAGCCAAACTTGCTGTCTTTCCCATGTGCTCAGATACTCTCAGAGCAGAGTTGTCCCCCCTTTTTGTAGAAACACATGGTAGAGCCTGTGTTAACTCTTTGCTAAATGATCTTCAGTCTTGTTCCTTATACACATCTTGATCCTGTTCATGACCCAGCTTCCTCTCTGACCTTGCGCTAAGATTCTTCATGTCTACTCATGTTCACTGCATGCCTCTGCTACTGACCTCAACTTGGACTACTGTCCACACCTTTGCCTAGTGAATCTCTACCTCTCTGCCTAATTGTTGCTGTCTTCTTCTTGTTCCTGGCTCTGATTCTCCTTATGTGCTGGTGTCCTTCCACTCAACCAGGTTTGGGACTTGACTCCACCTTTACCTGGACTTGGGATCTTCTTGGTGCATCATTAGCTGTATTTCTGCTCATCAGATAATAGCACTCCCAAGTGTCTACACCTTGGCACTCATGCCTTTCCTTTGCCTCCCAGACCCTGTCTCAATGTCCAGGGTTGCTCAGACAAGAACTGTGTAAGAGGCCACCCTCATCATCTCAGGCTCTGCATACAGGTAGGTGACAAAAAGACAGACAGACAGACTGGTGCAATGGAAAGTGTCAAATTATGATTACAGAAAGACAAGTGACATTTTTTTATACTGTATAGTGACAATTCCAAATGGCTTTTAACTGTCCCTTGGCATCTTAAATGGCTGCTGTCATGATATGCTTATAGCAGTACTTTACACCAAAACATTATTTTTTTAGTTTTAGATAGAGATCGTAAGGGTTAGAACCTCTTTCTGGATTTTGTTGTTATCTGTGTCCAGATTGGGACATTCACTCACTCACTGGTGACATTATCCTTGAGAACAAAAGTGAGGGAAAAACTTAAATTGATAATCAGTCCTCATGCATACTTGACGTTTTTACACCGGCTGTTTTTGGCTTTTGATGTTCATTTCTACAGCTAGTACACCCCCCAGCACAGGGGCGGACTGACCATTTGGAAACTCGGGCACTGCCCGAGGGCCCGGTGTCAGTAGGGGGGCCCCATGAGATGCCCCTGGTACCTTTTTCATAGGCTTTTTGAGTTTGGGCAAGGACACAGGGGCTCCATGATCCCCTATTGCCCGGGGGCCCCATAAGTTGTCAGTCCGCCCCTGTCCATGCACACATAGACTGTAATCAACGTTTTTTTGGCTGGAAAAAAACCAGGCTAGTGGGTTTCTAGAGGAGTTTTTTAGCTGGAAAAATGCTCTAATGCTGAAAAACACGGCAAAACGTGGTTAAAATGCAGATTTTTTTTACCCCCCACCTCCCCAACCCAAAATTAAAATTTTTTTCTTTGGTAAAAAAATGCTAAAAAAAAAACACTAAAAGAAGCTGAAAAACTCATGTTTTTAATGTGACTTTACACAGATAATGTTACCAGCGTTATCAAAATGTCCAATGTGCATGAGGACTAAAAGCATATAGACTGCTCCTCTGAAACCTCACAGGTGCAGACCTGACTTGTGGCCACAGCTTGAGCAGTAGAAAATGAAACTTGAGTCGCACTCCAATGAAATACCAAATACAATTTCCATTTATTGAAGTCTTCAGATAGAAACGTAAATCACAACTCCACACATAGGACAGTTAACGAGTTTCACACAGAGACATGTGTTTACTCATAACTGACATATACTAATCAGAGAACAGCTTAATTAATTAAACACAGCTGTCTCCCATCAGTAAATCAAATCCTCTCATTGATAGACCTTGAAGCATTCAACCCCCCCCCCTTCCCCCATAGATGGTCATCAAATATACTTTACAAACACCAAAAAGCAATAACCCAAAACAACATATATCCACAATCACAATAAAAATCAACTAGCAAAATAAATGAATAAAATCGGTAGTCAGACCCAATTGAGAAAGGGGAGTCATATGTAAATCTCATAGATACGAACCAAAAATTCTCTTGGTATCCAACCCTCTCGAAAGTATATACTGAAAAGAGCATAAGTGACAAAAGAGGCATATATGTAAATACACACAGGATGTCTGATTTTTTATTTTGC